TTTTTGAAATTACTCAGGGAAAAAATGATGAATTTATATTAAATAAAGTTCTTGGAATTCAATAACTACCCATACCAGGCAACCACTTACCTGAAAGTTATACATGTAATCATTAACTCGGAGCTTCCCTTCAGATTTTGTTTCAGACAGTAATCCTAGTTTATAAGCCTAAAATTTACGGAAAGCATCTTTTAAAATTTGAACTTTATAATACTACTTGTTTGGTTTGAAGGATTAGATTTCTTCCTGAAAATACATTTTGAAAGTTGCACTATTTACAGTGAAGGGTTTATAATCAGTGATTCTCAATTCAGGCTACTTACAGTGATGGAAAACTTTTGTACTATATGCTGAAATTGAACTGATCAATAGGCCAAACTTACAGAAGAAGGGGTGGAATGTGAATTTTGAGGAGAACGGATTGCAGGAGATATGCCTCTTACAGGACTGGAGCCGTTTCCACCTTGATACTAAAGAGAAAACATGGCCAAAGAATTAGTTAACATTGTTATTGAAAATGAACGGTAAGGCAAAAGAAATAAAAAGTATCACTTTATATTATATTGCTGCAAACCTATATGTATAAAGTAAGGAGAGTGAAAACAACTATTCAAGATCTAACTTTAATTTTTATATAGAAATTTCAAAAACACTTCAATAACAAATGACTGTATTTTAAACCATTAATTCTTCATTCTGTCATTTCCATCAAGATCAAGAGAACATCCTACCATATGTGATGGTTCTAAAAATAAAAAGTTCTAAAGATCTCTATTCTATGAAAGACTAACTCCTCTCCAAAATAGTAAAAATAACATAACATTTACAAAGACATTGTTAGCTCACAGTATAGACGTGACTTGTATGTGTGACTTTTGTATAGAAACCCATGCATTTTAGATTTCTAAATCAAGGCAAATGCAATCCAAACAAATCTGTTGTAGTACTCTCTACATTCATACCTGTGAATTTAAACTAAATTCAGTATTTTATACTGTTATTTGCAACATTAAAGAAATAAAAAAAGTAGTTTTCAAAATAAAATAAAAAACTTACTTCAAAATAGTCACTAATTTTGTGACCACGTCCTCCAATACTTTTCCCTGAAGTTAAAAAAAAATTAAAGACATTAGAAGTGATAAAAATGGACTACTATAATTACTGCAGAGGTGAAAAGTAAACAACATGTTAAATAAAGTCTTAGTATCTCTTAAGCATTTTTCTGCAGCTTGGTGAGCCAATCAATGTGTATGACCTTTTGTCTAGCTATTCATATGGCAGGCCATCAACACAGCATATGAGAATTCCATGCACTTCAATTAATTTACCCTCATATCATCCACATAAGGCAATGAAGTATAATTAGGGTTGCCAGGTGTCCAGTAAGAACTAGTAA